AGATCAGACAGCCCGCCACCTGGGAGTAAATCGATGCCACTATCCTCGCACGAGAATAGGGCTCTTTCCATAATTGAATCGAGAACAAAACTGAATAGAAAAGGAGAGCGAGGGCAACCCTGTCGGACACCACTTTCTGTGGTGAACTAGGGCGAAAAGTGCCGTAAGATAGGACTCGACTGCGGCTATTAGTATAAAGCGATCGTAGTATTGAAATAAACTTCTCAGGCACTCCCTTCAGGGAAAGGCAGCGCCAAAGTTTAAAGCGGTCGACTGAGGCGAAAGCCACTCTCAAATCGAGAAAAACAGAGATGGTGGGTCTACAGCAGGAATGTCGGTGCTCCAGAGTTTCGCGTAGATAAAGATGTGGTCGATACAACTTCGACTAGGTCTAACGTCAGCCTGGTTCTCCCGCGTGAACCTTTCACGTGCGGCAGACAATCGTCGGATTCTGATGCCAGCGAGAAGTTTAGAGGCAATGCTGATTAATCTAGTTCCCCTGTGATTTCCACAGAAAGACCTGTCATCTTTCTTGTCAATCGGTATGATTACCGATTCACACCATTCAGCTGGAACCTCTTCCTTTTCTATTATTGGACCCAGGAGTTTCGTCAACTCCTAGGCTAACGCTGTGCTACCATCCTTAATACCCGATAGGTACAGCTCGTCTGGAATGGAGGCCTTATGCCTTTTGAGGTGGCTTATTTCCTGGGAAACCTTTTGTGATTTAGGACTGGCTTTCTATGGCGGCATTTAATTGAATAGAAATGGAACCTCGTCCATCCTAGTGAATTTAAGGCCTTATGAAGACATGTTTGTTAGCGATTTAAACGCAATGAATACTGCTTGTTGCAGTGAAAATTTTTCATCACTGCAGAGGTTCGTGTTGTGTTTTGCAGAATTGTCACTGATCCTAGTTCCATGATGCGCATACCAACGATTCCAGGTAAAAGACGGTTGCAAACATTACAAATGTTTTATGCAAAACTAGTTTAATTTGCAGTTCAAGGAATGTGTTCTAGACGAACAAGTCTCGAGGAATCATTATGATGATTCTATATCGGGTTTGTGGATTAGATGCATCTAACCCCACCCAACTCGACATCGGGGCCGATTCTCAGTTTTTGCAATGGGTAGTATATAAATGACGGAACGAAGTTTCCCAAAAGCACAACCGGTTTCGCGGTCCCTGCCATTCGTCGAATATGCTTATCCAGTAATCTGTCTGCTCATTCTCATTCTTGTACTCTCAATGTGAATTATGCAACGCAAATCTGATTTGCAGCTCGTCGAGTGGAATTGCCGACTACGCATACGATTGACGAGAGCCGCGAAACCGAAAGTGTTTCTGGGAAATTCCATCTTGGGATTCATATACTTCTCATAAGTGCAAGTCTTTATTGGTAGTGCCAGAAAAAACGTGGATTAGAAAAGGGAGAAAAGTGCGGCACAAAACGGGTTGATCACGGTCTAGCCCGTCAT